TTGGAGATAGGAGTCTCACAGTCTTTCCTGCCCGGGCTGGCTTTGAACCGCAATCCTCAGATCTCAGCCTCCTGAGTAGCTAGGATTACAGGCGTGAGCCAGCAGCGCTGGCTTCAATGTTGTTTTGATTTGCATTTCTTTTATGGCCAGAGATGTTGAATATTTCTTCATGTGTCTTTTGGCCATTCTTATTTCTTCTTCAGAGAAGTCTCTCTACTACATGATTTTTTTTTTCTTTTGTGTTTTTTCCCTCTATAGTTTATCCCCAGTAGTCACTGACTGTATTAAATTTTGGTACCCTGTGTATTGTATATATTGTTTATCTGAACTAGGGAAGGGAAGGGAAACAAAATGGTGAGACAAAGGACAAAGTGGGAACCCATGCAACAGCGACACTCAGAAGGTAATATGTTGGAAATGATCTGTACAACTTGGGGGTGGGGAACTGGGAGGGAGGTAAAGAGGGAGAAAAATGAGGGAGGGGGTAACAAGACAAGAAATCTAAACAGGGCTGGGAAGATGGCTCAGCGGTAAAGTGCTTGCCTCACATGCATGAGACCCTGGGTTCAATTCCTCAGCACCACATAAACAGAAAAGACCAGAAGTGGCACTGTGGCTCAAGTGGTAATGTTCTACCCTTGAACTGAAAAGCTCAGGGACAATGCCCAGTCCCAGAGTTCAAGCCCTATAACTGACAAAAAAGAAAAAGAAAAAAGAAATGTAAGCAACACTACCTTACTTATGTAACTGTAACCCCTCTTTGTATCAACTTGACAATGAAATTAAAATAAAAATTTATAACCAGACCAACTTTGAAGAACTGTTCTACCACAATGAGTTCACCTAGATTACGAGGCATTAGATTAGGTTCTGTTGTCTGGCTTGGTATTGTGAACAAATGAACATGAATCAGAGACTAGCTACTCTTGGTACCCTTTTGGAATGAGTATCTCAGTGAGGAACAGTGAAAATAATCTTTCACTTGAATCAAGAGTTCTCAAGCCAGGCGCTGGTGGCTCATGCCTGTAATCCTAGCTACTTAGGAGGCTGAGATCTGAGGAATGTGGTTCAAAGTCAGCCCTCGCAGGAAAGTCAGTGAGACTCTGATCTCCAATTAACCACCAGAAAACTGGAAGTGGAACTATGGCTCAAGTGGTAGAGTGCTTGCCTTGAGCTGAAGAGCTCAGGGACAGTGAACAGGTCCAGAGTTCAAGCCCACAACCGACAAAAAAAAAATTCTCAACCTTTTGTTTTTGAGATAGTCTCGCTGTGTAGCCTAGAACATGAAGTCCTCCTGCCTTAGTTGTGCACTACCATATCTATCTTCTCTTATATAATCCATTCCTATGTTATAAGTTCTTCAGTAGGAAAGAATGTAGTTCAGAAAAAACAAACTTTCTCTTCCCCCTAAAGCCTGATAATCACTACATACTGAAGCCCCAACTACAAAAGGATTACTGAAATAACTGCCAAAATGACAAGCAACTATCTCCTTAAGACCATATAAAATAGAGAAGTAAAATTTAAAAAGTGAGTTGCAAGCTACTTTTCAGACACAAATGTCATCAAAAATGCCCCTATTTGAAAAAACACGTGGCCTGTTTCATTAAGTATTGGAACTGATGGATATGCAACCATGTGAATTGCTTTGTGAGACATGTAACATTTACTTACCTTATATATCCTCACCAGCCAATGTTCTGTGGTATATGCTTCTTCCAGGACATCAAGCTCAAAATCTTTATTCCCAATCTCAGCATTTCGAACACGATCAAAGCCTGGCGGACGCTCTAAAGAGAAAAAAAGAAAAAAGAACACTTTCCACAATGCTGATTTCCTAAAGGGACAGTAAAACAATGCAGTATACTGTCTACTGTTTGGATTATTATCTAGCATATAGTTTGATCAGAGTCTTACAAAAACGAGGGCTTCAGGTAGTAAGAACAAGTGTTACCCTAACTGAAGTTCTGTCCAAAATAATGCTTGGCAGAGTCCATGGAGCGTATCTCTTCTAAGAGATAAAACTGACAAGCCTCTAAGACTGTCATTCACAGGCCTCTGTAACACACTAGAAACCCTTCCATGGATCAGAGAAGAACTAATCAGAGAAAAAGCCAAAGTCCTGCATCTACTTCAGAAACCACGAAAGTGAAAGCCAGAGTGAAGACTTAACCTGTTAAATCCCTTTCAATGTATTCATTTGAAGAAAGGAAGTCCTTTACCTCACTGTCTCTTTACTCCTTGCCTCACTACAACCTGTGATACTGAGACACAAAATAAAATAGTATTTTAAAGCACAGACCTGGAGCGAGACTGCCTGAGTTTGAATCCTGGCTCTACCACTGGTCATGTAAATGCTGGCCAGTTCAATACCCATTGATAACTCAATTCCTTCATATAAAAATAGTAAGATACATTAATTCTAACTTATTATAAAACACTCACTGGCTTCTGTGTAGACCTGACCAAAGCGGTAGTAACACATCTTATACATGAGGCAGTTGAGCAATACTGGAGACCCCTCTCGGTCCACACGGAACTCTCCAGTTGGAGTATAATAGTCATTCTCTTTGATATGTTTGCCTGTATCTGTGCTCCCTCCAATCCGGACCATCCAAAGAAACTTGTTGATATCTAGAGGAAAAAAGAAGAGACTGATGTATCAGAAAGGTTAATGGAGCTAAATTTCCCATATTTTTTCTAATTGGGAATGATACTACTTAATTGTATTAAAGGGAAAACAGTCTGAAGATCTTTCCTCAAAAAAACTATTCTTAGGAATTACCAGATTCCTAGGTGGGTATGATGGTATATGATGGGTATGCTTATAAAGTACTTCCAACTAAGCCGGGCACTGGTGGCTCACGCCTGTAATCCTAGCTACTCAGGAGGCTGAGATCTGAGGATCACAGTTC